AAAAAACAATTTAATTATAATTGTATGGCTTTAATTAATTTAAGGATGAATCGAAAATCAAGGTGGTGGAGAGTGGAGGCTTTCAATGGCTGCTGAGTGGTGAGTGGTGAGACACACACTCATTCCACAGATACTGGAAACTGATTTACCAAACGTTGCAATAAGAAGAGCCACACAAAAGTGATACAGAGCCAGCGATAAGTCTTCCAAAGTGACACAGACTAGCGAAATCGATTATCAATTCAAGCTTTCCATGGTTGGTTTCTCTACCTCTCTTCTTCTCTTGCAATATACTACTAGATGTATTATTGGTTTGAAGATAGTGTTTGAATTGAATTTATCTTATCTGTATTCGTGTTCATCAATCGATGCTATTTGCTTATAGAAATGGTAAGCATCTTTTGAGAATCTGTCTAGCCGCTAGAAGTCTAAGAACGTATTTGTCTTAATGTTGGACATCTGTCTTCATTAAAATGGAAATATGTAAAATACAGATTCAAGAACCTGTTGTCAGCGGCGTCGCTTCTCTTGGGATGGATCATATGGATATATTGGGTATGCCATAGTTTCTATTCTCAGTTCATTAGCATTTCTATTCTCAGTTCATTAGCAAATGTACTTTCGCACACTTTAATAACTCTAGCTTCTCAATGCTAGTTTACATAGGAAATACATGAGCTGACATTGCTTTCCACAAGGCTGGGATTTTCAAGGTACAAACCTTCTGATTTGATTCCCTACTTTTCTAGGTCTCAGAATTTAATAAATACAATATATCTGTTTAAAGAGTTCCCATTGGCAGATATTATCTGATTTGCTCTTAATTATCTGTTTTCTTGTATGCTAATGAAAGCCTCAAATCCCCGCTTTCGACGGAGGACGCGAAGACGAGTCCGGAAGATGATAGGATTTTTAGAGAAGACTGTAAAACTGTGCAAGTGTATGAAGCAAGGACGAAGGAGATCGTAGCTGCTGCAGTTCGTGGATTCAACGGTAATACTCAACAACTCTTCTTATGGGTTTTGCTGATTTACTTCCAAAGTTCGAATTTTGATATCTCTGTAATGTGTGGCTCTCTAATTTCATCACACTACTGCAAAAATGAAGTTTCCTTTACTACTTTCTGGGTTTTAAAGAGTTGTGCTGAGTTTTTCGATTTTCGTTAACCGTATCTGATTCGATTTTGAAGGAACTGTGTTTGCTTTTGAACGGACAAACTAACAATGGCAAGACGCATACAATGCAAGGGTCACCTACTGAACCTAGAGTTATCCTACTTGATGTGCATGATTTGTTTGATACCATTTGTGCGCATATGTTTGTAAGATGGATCTCTTTTGATTTAGTATTGTTTTTGGAAAGTTACTGATTCAGGGAGTTTTCGTTGCGCATGTCGTACCTGGAGATTTATCATTTATAATGAAGATATAAACGATTTGCTGGCCCATGAACACCGAAAACTACAGATACAAGAACATCAGACGTGAGTAAGCAATCTCAAGGGGTAAGAATCATTTCACCAGTTTATGCAAAAGCTTCCTCTCTGAACGTCTGATGCAGAGGCTGTACTACATTTTTCGATAAGAAAACTAAATCTGTAATGATGCTGATGAAAATATGCCCGACTTTCTGGTTACCACTACATGCTTCTAAAGACCAGAAGCCATCACTTGAAAGATTGGAATGTTAGAGATGCAAAGCTTTATACAGAGATTTTTTTATGTGACCTCCAGGTTCTCTAAAGTCCGAACTTCAACATGCTTGCGTGATGTCGGATACCCTTCAGAGAGAGCTTAATAATGTCACAAGTGAGCGCCATTGTTTGCTAGTTCGCATAGAGGAGTTGAGTAATGAACTCGCTTCATCAAATCATTTGCAGGTTCGGTTAAGAGCACACAGACATGATTCTATTATAGGTATAATATTAACCATTCATTCTCACGAAAACCCTATAACTGCTGTCAGATTGTAGATGCAAAATTTCCATCTGAAGAATTGACTCGTAGAATCTCAAGCCAAGAAGCCAATCCGTGCAAGGTAATGCCAAGTGAAATAGCTGATTATGTATCTCTCATTGATTGAGGTTGAGCCTTTAGAACCAATGCCAAGACATGTTCAGAAGATCAATTCTAACTTTCCCGATACAACCAATTTACATATCATATTTCTGATTGCAGGATGCAGCTGCAGACAACAAGGAGAATGCAAAGCTAAAGATGAGACTCAGGGGAACGCAAGCACGCTTAGATGCAATCTGTCTAAGGCACAAGCAGTCTGTGAAAGAATCAGAAGTTATGAACAGGAAGTTCGAGGAAGCATCCGCGAAGCTAAAGGAGAAGTTAGCGTCAAAAGCTCTCGAAGTCCTCGATCTCAAGAAGCAGCTCTCTGCTTTTTCAAGAACAATGTGATGAAGTTATGAAACAGCGTAACTCTCTTAACTAGTACTTGATTCACGGCTAGTAATAATTGTTTAAAAAAGCTGTAAACTTTTCATTTTCATTTTTTATGAAGTAATAAATAGATGCATTAATCTCCAACATGCATATATCAGGATTGGACTGATATATATTCCTGGCTGGTAAAGCTTTCTTTTAATATTGATAATTACTCTTTTAGATCATATTTTATGTCTAAAACAACATTAAGAAAAAAAAACAGAGACAAAGATGACTTTCATTAGTCAAATTTAATTAACTTGAGTACTTTGACACCTCAAAACAAAAAACCCGCAATGGAGTAAAAATCAACACCATTTTAGTGTTACACTATTTTGGTGTAAAAAACCATTGGAGATACTCTCAGTCTTCCTCATTTTTCTCCGTAGATCGTGCCTCTCTCTTTCTCTTTGCTGCTCCGTCGATCTCAGTCACCGATTCGATTCTAGAATCGATCTTCGTCATGGCATCATCTGATCCCGCCGCGTACAGTTACAAGCTCCGTTGTGAGCTCTCTGGTCACGAAGACATGGTAAGATCGTTTTGTATATAGAAGTGAGGTTTTGTTGATCAGCTTTTTTTTGTGAAATTTGTGAGTTAATGCAAATATTTTTTAGGCTTATGGATTATGCATCTTTGGCAAGACAAACATAGCATCATTTTCCCGTGAATGTGATGGAAGTATCCAACTGTGGTCGCCGGATGCATTTGGTGTCTATACATATTCACAATTTCTGCAAGGTCACGCGAGTTCCATTAGGCCTCTGGCGTGGATGAATTCAACGAAGGAGTACCCTGAAGGCTCATTGTGGATGATTTCTACAATTATTTTGCAGTTATTTTGCATTGCAAATGCTGTTACAGGTTAGCTATGATGCAATGAAATCCTCCACCAGCCATCACATCTAACTCTGTAACAGCATCTGCAATGAAAAATAATTGTAATCATAGCAACTTCTCACATAAAGAAAGAAATATGTGAGAAACAGTAAGAAATTCACCTGTATGCTCTTTCAAAGTTTTTATAAGTTTTTTCGCTTGATCTTGATAGAAGCATAAGTAACACAACTAGATACACTTTCTAAACTGTTAATGACAATAACACCCTTACACAATAAACCGCCTCGTTACAAGTGACTCATCAAACAAAATCATATGTTTGATTCATTCGTATAATACAACTCTGTTTTACTTGTAGCTTTTGTTGATTTACATAACAAAAAGTCCATCTTCTGTTACAAAACCTCTAATTACAAGCTCCTAATCAAAACATTTGCATAAGCTTCTATATATATTTTTGGTCTTGTGACCTATGGAATAGACTTTTAAAAATGGTTGTATCAGAGAAGTGATGTGATTATGCCACAGAGTCCAATACATATACAACATTATGATAGATAGATTAACAAATTACACAGAGGTCATTCCAAAGAAATTAAGAGGAGGAACAAAGACATAAAAATTCAGACAACAACACACTACATGCAAAAAAAAAAGAAAGAAAAACAATATCAATTCTTCATAAACACATCATTAATGTGGAACACATTACGAAAACTGTTTTGAGAAAAAAAAACGCAGACAGGAGAGAATAAAAAAAAAAGAGAACGCAACGCCTTCTCCGGTGGTCGGCACGTTGTCGCCGGCGCCGTGAGATTTTTAGTATATAAAAGTTTGGTTTTTTCTTTTGCTTGCCCATGATCCTTGCGGTGTTCCTCGAAGAGGTCAAAGATTTTTGGCTTCCGTCGTGGATTTGAGATCTCAGATCTAGATTTGTCTGTTTCGATCCGGTGTCTTCGTATGAGGTTTTCCAGCACTCTCCGGCCTCAGATTTATCTGGTTCATGTTTCCCAACTTTCGTTTTCCGGTGTCTTCTCCATCCTCGATACTTGCGTTGAAGGTATTTGAAGAGATGGTATTTGGAGCGGTGGTTTTGGGGAGTTGCGAACTGGTCGTGGCGAAGGTTTGTGGTAGACTTTGTGGTGGTTAGGTTGGTCTTTGTCTCTGCTCTGGTTTCCGATATTGTTTGGCTTAGTCGATCTCCGGTAGGGTTTTGGTCTTTCGTCTTGTTGGTTGTAGTATAGGATTTAGTGCTGCGTGTTTCTGCTTTGGTTTTAGATTGATGTCTCCGCAAATCGTTTTAATCTGTTCCTTCCCTCGGTCTTAATCGGATCGCATCCTTCACCATCCCTTCCCTTTGAAGCTTTGGTGTGTCGATTAAGCGGCTCATTTAGCCTCCTCCACTCGAAGTTAACAATAGGTTTGGTCGAGACCTGTTTGGTTTGTTGCGCCCTACTCACCGGTTATTTGTTGACTGTTTTTCAGCTAATCCGGCCTCGGCTTCTTTACAACGGTCCTAGCCTATGGGGAGATACCGTTTAGTCATCTTAAGGGTTAGCAATTGTTACAAATGCTGAAGTTTCCACACATCAAGCGAGGACTTGAAGAGCGGAAACTGCGTTTGGGTATAGACGGGTTATCCATCGATGGCTGATATGATTTGGTTCTCGGGTTGGACAGGTTAAAATTGTTTGTTTGTTATAACTATAAATTTCTTCTTAACGCGCTAGTTCTAGTCTTGGTTTATTGTGTTTGTTTCATCGCTACCCGTTAAACTTTTGGGCAACGCTCTCCGGTAATCTTTCGGGCAACGCTCCCCGGTAAACTTTTGGGCTCTGCTTTCGATGTATGCATATGTAAAGTGACCTTGTTTTATATAATAATATTCAATTGAAAAAAAAATGTGGAACACATTACTAGGAGGAGGTAGGTGCACTCATTTGTGGTGAGAAATTGTTGAAGAAGTAGTATTTAGAGCAAGTCTAGTTTCATCAATCAATACAAGCTTTTTAAGTGTTTCCCTTCTATACAAACAATATTTTGTGATCAACAAGGTAATCAATAAAGAAAAAAAAACATGGAATTCAAAACATAAAATTTGATTATTATATTTTTTTCAAAATTTTATTATTATATGAGGTGAGTGAGGGGGGGGGGAGAAAATGAAATATTTGTTTATTTCTTATTTTTAGTTGTTTCTGATTTTTGGGGTTTGTAGAAAAGTGGGTTTTCATGAAAAAAGAAAATGTTGTAGAGTTTGTATATGTGTATTCATACAATTAATACAAAAAAACGATAAAAAGAATCGTTTTCTCTCTCTCTTTCGTTTAACGTTATAAGAATTTATTGTTGTTGATAGCTTGTGACATTATCATTTTTGCTGGAATAATAATAGTTAAGAGAATAATCCATCTAATTTTGTTATGGTGACTAGACGCAAGCGAACTCGTGAATAGAGCGGTTGGACAATGTACCAAGGCATGTTCTACTCTCTGCACCAAGGGCTCTAAAACCGCACTCGAAGCTGCATAAACAATCATATCCACGGTCTAAGTGTTGGTTTTTTGTTTTCAATAGTGACAAAAATGCTAGACTCTCGGGCTAGTATATGTGAATACGTTGCGTTTGGTTTGTCTATGTGTCGTACAAGGTTGTCCTTCACTAGATTGGTTATATATTATCTAAATAATGGATAATGTATGTGTCCTTCTCGAGTTTTATTTAAACAAATTTTCGCTTCTAACGTATCATGACAATCTATGCGATGTAGCAACACTACTAAGACTGAAAAATCTCAAATGCTGATTAAAGAAAATCCCAAAC